AACATCGCGCAGAGCTACGGCGCGCTCGCGCATTGCCGAAGAGTTAAACACTCGATCAAATGCTTCTGTAAATATCCTTACGGCCTTGGCGGATCGTGGAGACCCGGGCTCGTCGCTGTATGAATTCAGAATACTCGACTTTTGTTGAGGAGTGACGTTATCACCCTGACTCGCCATGTATCGGATAAGCGTAGTCTTGTTGCAATTATCGACAGCAAGCCTATCTAACCAGGAATCGAGATATAGTAGTAGCGTAGTTGCGCGCTCCTTTTTGATCGTCTTATTTACCTTTTGATGCCTGCTGAGCGTGGCAAAACCAGAGGTTTTGTCCATGTTCTCTAGGTTTTCGAGCCAGCGGCGGTAGACGCCCTCTTCATTATCTGCGAGGTCCCTTAGATGGGGAACATAAGTAAGCATGGTATTAGGGGAGAGGATATTCTTCCTAATTTCGACGTGATGAAAACTATAGGAAGGGACCGTGTCAACGTTGGTTTTGATACAGATGACCTTATGGTATTCTCGCTTTTCCTGTTTTCCTGATCTACCTTGGCCTACTTGCTGTGAAATTGTTAGTTGACTACTCCCTTTATGGCTTAACTCGATAGACCGTGGAATACGTAATGGCGATATATGTGACTTTCAGAGACAAACCTTTGTTTTGATTCTCATCGTATCTGCTGATTTCCCTGCGCCTTCTATTGGGGTGCGCTTTATATCCGCGAACCAGTCCTTCTTGCTGGCGAACTGTTGCACGGGGGCTTCTTTTTTCCAAGCCATGTGAATCAGGCGAGCGGTAAGCCTAGCTCCATCCGTGCCGATCTCATTTGCGAAACCCCGTAGGGCTTCTTCAACTTTATCAGCATTCCATTCATGCTTCCTAGGAGTTGAAGTTTTGGGGGTTCGGTGAGCCACGGGTGGATGATAATGAGACGACGAAGGCGAGACATCAGGCAGATTCCCTGAGCTACCGGCTTGTCTGACCGGTAATGAGGCCATTTTCCCATCCTGGCTAGCAGATATGGATGCAGATCCCTTTCTGGGCCGGATAGGGGTTGCAGCATGGATAGATGTACGGTCTTCCTGCACAGATGCAGCCGAAGCTGCTTGCTGGTCCTGAATTGGCGAGCTGACAAGCTTGCGAGTGCGTGATCCCGGCTGAGATTGCGGTTGCGACTGCGACTGCTTACTCTTCCGAGGCGTATGATCTAGGATATTAGAGTCGTCCGAATCTGACACGACAGTTGTCAAGTCAATTTTTATCGTCATTGCGCCAAGATGCCCACTATTAAGGCATTCACTCTCAAGCTCCGAGGTAGAATGCTCTTTCTGTCCAGGAATCTACCAAGGGCTTTGTGGACGGGATGTCGTTACGCCCATATCTGCATTCAATTACTGTTAAAGTGAGTATTGGTTGCAATGATAGGGCTTGTTGCTACGGCGCCGATGATTCGGACGCGTCTCAGATGACCGTAACCCCCCTGAAAATTGATTGGTTAAAAACTGTGATAGAAAAGAATAGGGCGATTAGGCATACAGTACAATTCGGAAAGGGATCAATGATTAGGGATAATCTCTACGAGCCCAGGAAACTCAGGAAATCGTGCTAAGGTAACAAGTCACGAAGCGATGAGATAGTGCGATAAAATAAATCAAGACCCGAAGTGAATTTTAACTTTTAGTGACGCGTCAATGAGATGAGAAGCAGCGACGCGAGACGACCCCGAGGCTTGATCCGAGATGATTTCCCTTATCTTATCGTAAATAGAAGTGGGCTCTCAACCTTGAAGCTTCCAGTGCTCTTTCTTTGGCTAGTGCGTATGTATATATGTGGGGACATCACCAAGGTGATGGGTGTACAGTATGATGCTATTTACACAGTGAACCTACTATACTATATACTATGTAGATATCAAAGTACCGAATGAGAACATTCATAGAGTTGTCGGTATTAGCTGCTAGAATCTCATCAGCCATGGTAGAATTGAGTATTCATTCTTAACCTAGGTTTATTAAATAGATCCATAGTACTTCAAATGATGTTATAGGTCATTTTGCTCACGATTTAGACTTTTCACTTGAGTCAAGCAGTAGCCAATGCATACATGTACATTCTAAAGAGTTACTGGTCATCTACTTAGTCTCAAGCCATTTAATGCCAATGCAATGGATCCGAAAGCAACCCGTCATACGTATCCTAAGGTCTTTGAAGACGGGCATCGTTCAATACTTGAAATGCCCAAAGAATACCTACACCCTAGTAAGGTCGGAGCTAAGCCAATTGGATAATTGTCATTTTGGGACTAGCGCTCCTACATCAGAGCTAAAAGAACACAATTCGGCAGCGATGACGTAGGGAGTAAGGGGCCAGCCCTTTATTTGTTCCCACTTTTTTCGATTGCCTGAGCTTCTATGTAACAGAAACAGCCCAACCCGCCAACCCCATCCTTCTGCTTCTTGCCATGGGACCATCATCTCCATCTTCCCATTCATAAATAGAAAAAGTGTGTACCTTACGTATGCGATCGTCCAAATCCGTCCGGCCCTTTAAAACGAAGATCGCAAGACTAAAACTCACCCACCTTTCCACCACTTTTCATACATAGTGCAGTTCGAGTAAATTATTATACTTTCCCATCGGCTCCGGTATCTGCCTAAAGCGAGTTTAAGCAAGCATCAAGTTACGACCAAAAGTCGCTAAAGGCTTCTCGACCATCTTCTCGTACCACCACCATCCTTTCAAGCTGAACCTCCCGACGTCATCACATTCCGCTTACGACTCATCGCCAATCGACCTCCCACAATGCATCGGACATATTCAATGCGCCAGACTAGGGCGCCTACTGCCTCTCAGATCCAAGTAAGCCTTGTTGTTCCGTCAATACGCTGAGACACATTGTTGACCTATGTCCACAGAACCCTCCTCCCCCGCCATCATCTACGAAGTCTGGCAGATTGTTTGGAAAAGGCGCGTTCGGTAAGCTTCTCCAGTTCTGGATACCTCTCGACCTATAGTCGCACCCTCGCACCCTTGATCGCTACCGTCGACACATTCATGGGAGACCGATAAGTTAACAATGACATAAGGACATGCGTTGCGTCGAAACACCGCCGGCGCCTTCGGGCCCGATCTCGCTAAAAAGCTGACCCAGCTCGTGAAGATGGAGAAGAATGTGATGCGCAGCTTGGAGTTGGTCGCAAAGGAGCGCATGGAGGTTGCTGTATGTCGCACTGCTCATACCATGACGACAACTTGCTGACTCATCTATCTAGCAACAACTCTCCCTCTGGGGCGAGGCCGGCGACGAAGACGTTTCCGACGTCACCGACAAGCTCGGTGTACTCATTTACGAAATTGGCGAGCTCGAGGACCAGTATGTCGATCGCTATGACCAGTACCGAGTCACCATGAAGAGCATCAGAAATATCGAGGCATCCGTACAGCCTAGTCGAGACAGTGAGTATCTCCGGCCAGTGTTTATTTTCTGGCCGCATCAGCTAACACTACGTTAGGGAAACAGAAAATCGCAGACCAGATCGCGCAGCTCAAATACAAGGAGCCCAACTCGCCCAAGATCGTTGTCCTCGAACAGGAACTCGTCCGCGCCGAAGCCGAATCGCTTGTTGCCGAAGCCCAGTTATCCAACATCACTCGCGAGAAGCTAAAGTCTGCATACGCATACCAATTTGACGCTCTACAAGAGCACTGCGAGAAGGTGGCCATCATTGCTGGCTACGGCAAACATCTACTTGAGCTGATTGACGACACGCCCGTGACCCCAGGCGAGACCCGCGCCGCCTATGACGGCTACGAGGCCAGCAAGGCCATCATTCAGGACTGCGAAGATGCGCTGACTAACTGGGTATCATCGAACGCTGCCGTGAACCCCAAGCTGTCCACTCGAGCTCGCACTCTTTCGACAAGACGTCGCAATAACATCAAGGCCCGATCAGAAGGCCTAGACCTGTCCGCCCAGGACGCACCACTCAATGACCGTGACTCCTGGGTCGCTGCCGGCGAACACAGGAGCCACGAGTACGAGGGTGAACAAGAGGATGAGGACCAGGCCCATTCTGTGCTGGATTCCGATAGCGGTATGAATGGCGAGTCGCAGCAGCACCGAGGCAGAGCACCTGAGATGACAGCTTAGGAAGCTTTTTAATCGCCCTCTGTGGTGAGATGAGGTAACTCATTAGTAATGTCTAATACGAGAAATGGCTTGGCGGGTATTGTGGCCTATTGGACTCTCCGGGATCTATCTCAGGAATCCTTGAATGCTTCTTGGCGTGGATGAAATGAAATGCTGGGCCAGTGGGAAAGTGTCGTGCGCAACGTATAGGATTTAGGTCGCCCAAGGGAGCTTTGATGGAACAAACGTGATGGGATGGATGGGTACTTTTCCGTTTCTTCCGAACATCCAGACAACAGTGTTTTCTTGTACTTATAATAACTGGCAAAACAAGAATATGTCTGTCTGCCTTACAAGGATCGATCTACGAGTTAAGTTACATGAGAGACAAAGAAAGATAGGTTAAGCAGTGCGAGTTGGCGTTCGTTATCATTATTATGACTTGGTGTTGTAGAGCTAACACTTATCGGAGTGGTCCCTAACATAACACCGCAATACCCAGGGTCCTACTAGAGATATACTAACAATAGCATAGAAATTTGGGTACACACGAGTATTATGTCGAGATAGATAGGTGGCTGTGTCCGGTGACAGTATGATGCGGAAGAGATGAGGCTATCCATATTCTTTAACATGTTCCCAAAATGACGATAGGTTACAAGAAGTGGAAGAAGTTCAAATATATATATCAAAAGCGGCCAATACTAAGAACACCGCCTTCCTAGACAGTGAGAGGGAATCTAGAGAACGGATAAGAGAACAATAAGAGGGCATCGAGAGAAAAAAAAAAAAGAAAAAAGAGGAAGTCGCCCTCAGTGGGGCTTGATATGATGTCTCATCGTGTACTAAAAGGCCCGACAAAAAGAGAATTCCTACACCCACCGGGATTTGCACCCGGGTCTTTTCCGCACCATTATACCATTGCTGGATAATGTGAGAGAAATGAGCTAACTACTGCTCTATGGGTGTTGTGCTGTCAGTTGTTGAAAGAGTCTTCTCTATTATGCATTATAACCTTTAAACTGGTTGTCAGGTAGCAATCGACGACGTGGACGGCAAACGAGGGAAGGAGCTCGTCGTCTTTAGGAGTCGGGTGTGGAAGGCGGGAACTTACGTGTACCTACCCAACCCGGGGAACGTCTACGCGACGACTTCACTTTTGATGGGCAGGCGGCAATGGCAACACACCTGCTGCTACCTACCTACAGATGTACCTATGGTTCTAGCACACGACAGGTGCCAAAAACACCATCAATGCCTATCACATCACTCAGTCGACACGCACGCGAAGTCCTCGAAGAAAATGTTCGACTATCACGAACGAGTGAAGAGAATCACATAAAACGTAGGAGCCTATGTAGAACCCTACCAACTCATTGCATGTCATCCTCTCCAAATTAGCTTATGAGTTAACCAATATACCATAGCTCCAGGGGGATAAGACTAATACTATGTTTCCTGTGATAGAAACCTTACCCCTTTTTCTCCTTCTCAAAGGAGGCGGACTTAAATATGCTACCCGAAGCCCCAGCCTCTATATAGCATCTTGAAACATAAGGAACCTTAGTATCATGTAAGGGTCTACTTACAGATATACATATGTATATACTACCATTAATTAGTTGAATACTTTAAATTAATCAGTACCTTAGCCAGACAGGAACTCAACCATATCACAAGACACTCACGTGCTATCCCAATACCATCCACACACGACACCATAGGGGATGAAATATTCGCCGATGAATCCATTTGATCCATTTAACAGAAGCTACTACTCTGTAGTGCTAGGATATCAACGTCCCTATTATAGGAACAACATATTGATCTCCTCGCCCACCTTGGCAGGTATGACCCCTAGGAAGGTGTTGAATTACATGTCGCCCTACTCCCTAGTAGAATCCTGAGACCCTTCTCACCGGCCATGTCCTGCTTATTGCGAGCGCTCCTCGCCAGCTTATACTTGAGCCGGCGTACCAGACCACCCTCCGGACGGGACATGCCCATCCCGAATGACCGACCCATATACGGGCCCTCATTCGTGAACACAACCCTCTGTGCCCTGGCCTTACGGTTGTCCCACCCATCCGTTGGACTATCCGTAGCGTGATATATCGCTACGACCTCTCCGTCCAAGCTCACAAACGACCCATGACCCGGCCCGAAGGGACCTGTGCCATGCTTCAGCATCTGAACGAGCGGCTCCTCCCCTTTTCGCCAAGAGTCCGGGTCAAGTGGATCGCCCCCTACGTATTGTAGCAACCCCATCTTGTACTCATGTGTCCAGCTCCCGGCACATGAGTAGACTAAACCCCGCCATGCGATGGCACCATCAGGAGAACTCAGGAACTGCGGGCCCTCGTTGATGCCGTGATCTGTACCATTGCCCTCCCGGGTGATCTCCCAGGGGTGTTGCGGTGTGGAGATGACGGTGGCGGCGCTGGCAGCGCTCGTAGGGTCAGCGAGCTTTAGGATGAATAGCTGCTGTATGAGGTCCGACGGGTCTTCGATGTCGTCAAGCGGCCAACCTGAGTACGTAAAATATGTATCACCATTCAGCTCGAATACAGTCCCGTCGATGGCCCAATGATCCGGCATCCCAACGATGCGTCCTAGAAATTCCCATTGGCCCCGGCAAGGGTCCTCCGATGCTGGAGGACCACCAAGCACGTACATGCGGTGACTTTTATTACCGTGGGCCGGATTTGCGGCGGCATAATAGACGTACCATCGACCGTGTATAGCATGCAGTTCAGGGGCCCAGAGATCGGCCGAGTGGTCAGTACCTTGAGGCGGAGTCCTACCCGCTGAGTTAGTGCCGTAACCAATAAGACGAGATAGATATATGCCCAAGAACGATGAAACACACCAAATCACATGCCTGGCAGCCGAACTCTCTATATCAGCAAGGCTACTAGAGGACCATATTTCCACTCTGTTTCCGGCAGTGAAGGTCTTTACGCAAGGTTAGCTGTCTAATAAATCTAAAGCGGCATTGCGACGGATTAAGTGGTGGTGGTCTTACAAGATAGTAGCGGCCTCTGAAGAGGGTCACGAAGGGATCCGGAGTGCCGACGGAGGTGAGAGTTAGAGTCGAGTTATCGTACTGCATAGCTGCGGAATTCTCCAGCGACAAGAGCGACGCCAACGCGCGGCTCGCACCCGTTAGGAAATCCTTGAGAAAGATATAGAGCATTGGGGCCCCTTGGTTGAATACCGGTCGGTGACGTATTCCCCAAACTATGCTCGTTTCAGTGTGCCGATCCGTGAGTGCGCAATTAGGTTTCGCTCCAACGAAAAGGTTAAAAAGGGCGACCAAGGTGAGGACGACGACAACTCGCGAGGCAAACAAGGTGAAACGGGTGGCCGCAGTTGGGGTTCGGGATGGCGTAAGGTTATAACTGGGAACGAATAGCCTTACAAAGGTCGACCTGGCGGTTAGCTGACGCCGCTGACGACGCGAGTGGGAGGGGTCCAGGTCGAGTAACCCTTTTCGATTGTACACCATCGGCTATCATTTCAGTGCCACGTTGTGGGAGAAAAGGATGAAGCAGGTAAGATTTGGAAGATTGAGTCGATATTTATCAGAATCTCAGATTTGTGTGCAACGGACGGGCCGCAACTACCCAAACATGACCGCGTAAGTCTCTTCCCCTCCCTCCCCTCCCTTTCCCCCTGAACCTTGTGATAACTCCTGCCGTGACTCCCATTATTACCGCCGTCGTAAGTTCCCAATGTAAGCCAATGTAAAGCCAATGTAAGTAAATTTACACTTTCCTGATTGCACAATGATATATCCAAATGCGTTAATAAATCCCATCCTAGCACCGCGCTACTCTTCCCTGGTAGACACGCATAGCCGGAAGCTGTAGATCATGTTTTGTATAGAGCGCTTGCCTCCAACGCCCGTAGACCCAATGGTATATAGTGACAAAAGAATAGGGGACGTAGTCAGTCAGTCCGACGTAAAAATTCATTCTAACCAGAAACGTTTTTCTTTTTTCGCTCTTGGGTTAGTATCTCGAAAGTATGCGCCATGTCCTTATGGTACATGTATGTAATGAAGATTAAAACCCAAAATATCGCCTCAGCACGAGAAGAAGTCGCCGGCATAAGCATGCTCTGCTTCCCACTTAAGGAAATCTCCTAGGTCGTGTCCCAAATTATATCCCATTGGGACAACATCCATATCGTCACCATCCGGGCTTCGAATGACTCGGAGATCAAGCATCGGACTTTGCGGAAGACTGGCGTAGCTTTCACGGCTGCCGTATTCCTTCGACGAGGGATCACCATGCTCATCAAGATACATTTTCGAAGTATCCAATTCAAGCCCAGACATGTCATGTTCTAGCTGGCGACTCTCGGGGAACATCTTGTGTCGCGGATTCTGCCAAGGCGTGCTGTATGGGTTGTCTCCTCCGATCTCCGTATATGATATATCCGAGTAGTCTTCACCCGATGTTGTACTCGTAGGACTAGGAACCTCGAGATCTTGTGTAAGGAGTCCTCCGGGACTGCAGAAGTTTAACGAGTCAAACCAATCTGTTAACTCGTTAATCTCTTCTGCTTCTCTGCGGCGAATTATGTCGTCACTTTCGGAGAGCCAGTCTCCAGCGCCCCCAGAAATGGCCATCTGGAATGCTGTCCAATCCAGGCCCTCGTCCGCTCCAACTTTCATGTCTCCTATGAGATCAGTTTTTGCGAGTCGGATTGGACCGTGACGGAATTTAGGGCTAGTTAGCGAGCACGGCGATGATTGAAGGAAGACATAATTTGAATCAGCGACCAAGGCTTGGGAACCTCTAAAGTTCTGGCCGCTGTAGAGTTCGTTGGTTGGTGACGAAATAATGCTTGTTTCTGGTATGCTAGGCAACGCTCCTCGCTGCCCTCGCAAGCTGAATCGTGCTGGGTGTCTCATTGGCGGTGTAGGAAAATGGGCATTTCTTGATTGCACAGGTTCCTCTCCGATATCCAACCGCGACGTCGAGGCGGGAAGCTCGACGGGTCCGTATTCTTCATTTGGCCCCTCTACTGAGAAATCCCTCTTCGAAATTGACTCGAAAGTTGATGAGACGGCTTTCTCTTCGGTTGGTGTGTCGTCATTTAGTTTTACGCCAGCTGACCCAATCCGGGAAGGAAGATCGTCGAGGTGGAAAGGCTCGATTGGCGTGTCGCTTGACTCGGTGTCAAGGGTGTCAGTCGATTTGTCAGTAGGTTTTTCTGACTGCATAATCGACATCCTACGCAGCCTGTACGCCTCCAGCTGACTCGGCGTAAGCATCTCATCCACTTCCACCTTATGGAAGAATTTCCCACTGAAAAGTTCCGTCACATTATCAGACAATGTCCATTTCGGCCCGCTTTTTGTCGTCGACTTAGGCGTAGCAGGCTTCCTACTCGGCTTCATTGACTTCGCTTTCTTGGATTTCTTAGACTTCTTCCTTTTGACACCGCTAGACACAGATATGTTTCGCCTAGGCGAGTGGATAGGGGAGGCGGCGACGGCTTGACGTGGCGGGTTCTGCATTCGAGGTGGAGTAACCAGTGCTGCTGGTTTCAGAATTGGTGATGGATCGGGTACTGGATCGGGGGTAGGGAGTCTCGGTAATTCTTTCAGTGTATTTTGTGTGATTTGTACCTCAGCGAGAGCGCTGCCAACTGCCTTGAATGCTTCATCTGCTTCTTGTATGAGCAGTTGAATATCATCTGAAAAGCTTATGAATGGCTCCTGCGGTGGCAGGTTCTGCTTTGATACTGCTGCTTTGTTTTCCCGTCGGAAAGATAAAGCTTCATCAAGGTCAAACGTCGAGCCTTGCAGTTCCTCCTTCGGGGGTGGCTCCGGCGGATATTCGTCGGCACCGTAGCTCGTGTCGCTAGAAAGCTGGAGTGATTCTTGACTTCGGTCTTCCTTTGACGATATCGAACAAAGAGGCGATTTCGACCTCTTTGAGTCGGCCAATTGGTAC